AAAGTAAAACTTTGCAGTGGCAGACCTGAAGTTTATTTCGGTTAGTCTTTGGTCTTTAGTTTGCAGTTGAAAGCAAAGTCTGCCATTCAACTTGCATTAATCATCAACTTGTTTCAACCGCACACCAATCCTTCCCCCACCCCCATTGCCATTCCCTTTTCGAACTTTGGACTTTTATTGACTGCACCAGCACCGGCACCAGCACCTGTATATGTATCTGTGTGTGTGTGACGACTAACGCGCTTCTAATAGACTGCATTCCATTGAGTTCGCTTCGCTGGGCTTTGGGCTTTGTGGGTCCTCGGACCGTTTATAAATTATCAGGCAACAGCAACTGACTTTTGTATGGTCACTGCACCGTGTGGCATGCCACAGCTCCAGCCCCAACCCCCCTCCCACATGTTATTCCCTTTCCCACTTTTTAGTTTGGGGGGGGGCGCATTAAAACCGAAGCAGCTCATAAATGAAACCGCAAAGTCACTTTAAGTGCATGCCACATAAATTCCACTCAACTTAGGGGACCCAAACCCAAAGCCAAAGCCTTTGCTTCTGCTGCTGCTGCGGAGGGAAATCAATGGCGAAAAAAGAAAGTGTTGCCTACTTTTCTGCGTATCAGCATTTTCGCATTTTCACATTTTCGCATTAGTTTCGCAAATATTTTTTTTCTCTTTTGCAACTATTTTTCCTGTTCTTTCTCTGTTCTGTTTCTGTTTCAGTTTTGTTTTGTTTTTTTTTTTTTTTTTGTTTTTTTTTTTTTTTTTTCACTTTTTTAATAGAGCCAAAAACTTTAATTTCATTTGGCCAATTTCCATTCCCTTGCTCTTTCTCACTCTGTCTCTGTCTTTCTCTCTAATGAAGTGCAAATTACACAAAGCCAAATTGCTTTAATAAAAATGCTAAACAAAAATGAAGCCAGCAAAAAGAGAGCAACAAAGCCGGAGCTGCCATAGAAAGGGGCAAAAATGAAGGCAAAAGAAACAAAAAACACAAAAACAAAAAAACCAAACACAACTTTCATGCATATTCCGGCTGATTTTTTTATCCGTGCCGCACCGCGCCGTGCCGTGCCGCCGTTCCTGTTCTTTTGTTACAACAAACTCAAACACATTTTCACTTTGCTTTGAGAGTCCTCTCCATGCCACCCAATGCCCGCTTGCTCTTGCTCCTGCTCTCCCCTTTCTGTTGTTGTACCCTTGAGGGGTGCAGGGCATTAGGCCTTCGATCAGATGTCTGGCAAATGCAAAGGGTCTCAGCACTGGCTGCCACAAGATGGGATCACTTCATGTTTTCATATGGGATATGCATGTGTGGGGTGTGGGGAGTATTTAAGGTTCGATCGGTCCCAATCAAACGTTGCATATTGCAGCTGCATATTTGTTAGCTCAAGAAAATATAAATCTATAGAACAGTCCATGGCCCTGGCAGCTAGCACCAGCAGTTCCCGACACCAAATAAATAAATCAAATAAATAATATTAATAAATAAAATCAAATAATAATAATAATAATAAATAATAATAATAAATAATAATAATAATAAATAATAATAATAATAAATAATAAATCTACGGACAATACAATTTAGTTATAGTAGTTGCTGCCGTAAGGGCATCAAAATATTCACCACTCACGTTATTGCATTCCCTCTCTCTCTTGTGTGTTCCCTTTGTGTGTGTGTGTGTCGGTGGAATGCAAATTTTCCATGTGAGTTTACACTGACGTGCGTAAAAGTTATTGTTTCAAATTTTTGCACTTTCTATTGGAGTTCGGGATGAAAATCATCACCCAGAACCCATAAAAAAACGTAGCGAAAAAGAGCAAACGGGTAAAACGGGTAAAACGAGTAAAACCTAACCAGCCTGGAAACAGCGCCATCAATTTGCAGCAGTTGTGGAACAAGGCACAAAAACCAAACGAAAAGGTGGAATATTTTTTGAAAAATGGGTTTCAAACGCAAAGTGCATAAAACGATGCACGAAGTGCATGGCTGCTGCAAAGGGTGGGGGCAGGGGCGGGCGCAGTGTAGAGGTCTTTGGACCCAAGGAGTACCCTGCGGGAATTCTATAGCACGAGGAACGCTTCCATTCGATTTGAGATTATTTTCATTGGCTTTTAATTTCAAATTGCATTGTAGCAAAACTATGACCCTAAATATTGTAGAATATCTAATGGAATTTTTGGGCAGGCAATCAAACATAAACAGAGCTAGCTCCCCTCCACCCCCCACCCCCCTAGCCAATGCTGTGTGGATGCTGTTCGCTTCGCTTCATTGATAGATCATTTCAAACGCAGACCGAAATGCTGCAAACCAAATCATTTTGAGCTGAATTTTTGGAATATTTTTGAATTTTTTTATGGCTATCTATTCCGCTGCTATGTGCCGTTCAACAACTACCTAAAAAAAGCAACAAAAAAAAGCCACAAAGAGTGAACAAAAATTGTTAAATTCTAACACAAGGCCCAGGCCCAGGCCCAGGCACAAAGCTCTTTGAGGTGTGTCGTAAAAAATTGCCCAGCATATGTACATACGTACATACATATATGTATCTGTGTTGTGAATGTGAATAGTAAAACAAACGCAACATGGAACCACTGCTCGTACAACTGAAACTGGTCTGGTCTGCTCTGCTCTGGGCTGGTTCTGCTCTGTTCTGTTGTGGAAATTGCTGCCCTTTGTGGCCCAGTCACACAGTTAACCCATCGAAGCCCCAACCCACCGCTTAGACAGGCTAAAAACAGAATCAGAAAACGGAACCGGAACTGCCACGCAGCCAAAAAATACAAAACAAAAAAAAAAAAAAAGCAGAGAGGAAACATAGGACAAAACAGATGCCAGGACGAGGGCCAGGGCCAGGGCCAGAAAGAAAACCAAAAAGTGCCCAAAATGCTGGCAATGGATGAAATGTTAAGGGAAACGCTCTGCTCTCACACAGCAAAGCAATGAAAATTTGATTTTATTACAGGAATTTTGATTGGTTGCACTTGCACAATGCCAACAGACAGCAGCGGGCAGTGGGCAGGGGGCAGTGGGCAGGGGGCTGAGGGCAGCAGGCAAAAGCCAACATCAGATCTTCGTAAGTGCTGCAAGCTCTCCTCGCCGACACTTGCATATACATACATATGTATGTATTTGCTCTCCATAAATCAAATAAGTGGCCAACCAGTGGGAAATTCGAGTACGAGTATGTAGGCCAAGCCAAAGAACTTGCCCCACCCCTCACACCACACCCGTCACATCGAGCACTTTCAATTTTAATTAGTCAATAAAGAGCGCCACTTAATTAATGACTAAAGGAAAAAGAAGGCAAACCCCCGCCCCAACCAAATGTATTATAAATTATAATGCCTGGCCATAAATAATCATAAATATGAATCGAGGGCTGCGCGTCGGCAAATAAACATGCATTAATATGCGGAGACAGGCAGTCAGGCAGGCAGGCAGTCAGGCAGGCAGGCGAACAAATGCAACGTACGAGTGTGGCATCGAGCAGCGGGCCAAAACGGCAGAAGGCAACAACTACACAGGATAATTAACGACACTTGCCACTCGCGCCGCTTCTGCAGGCAAAAACAGTTTGATAAATGGCTCTAAAATGCTGCCAAAGGACGGCCAAAGGGTAGGGGAGGGGGACGGGGGGGGGGCGCCATAGGGGAGCAGCAGCAGCTGCTGTCTGTCAGTTAAATTTAAAGTTGCGAGCTCGAAATTTGTGAGAGCGAGCAGTGGAGCAGGCGATGTAAAGCCAGATGAGAAATGTTCTTATTTGCTTATTTCACATTTTTGGCAGATATTCATAAAACAGAAGTGCAGAACAGCAGGCAGGCAGGCAGGCAGGCAGGCAGACAGTGGGGTGGGGTAGAGGCAACACCTCAAGCTGCAAGAAAACAGCAACAGCAAGCGCTGCAGCCAGGCACATAGAGTGGGAGAGGGATATGATTGACTAGAGCACTACTAGCCTTAAAAAGGCAAACTGCAAACAGTGAAACCCGAATCAATAGCAGCAGCAGCAGCAGCAGCAGCAGCAGCTTGGCATACAGCATCCCTCAAAATGGCTTCCGGTAGCAGAAGGCTTGGCTTGGATCCCCAACACCTCTACCCAGCCAGCAATTGCAAGTCCTTGTTTGACCAGCACCGACGAGCGTCCGTAGCGGCAGGAGAGTGGCTAGCGGGTAGCGGGTAGCGGGTAGCGGGTAACTTCAGTGGCAGCCACATAGACAGACAGACAAACAGACAGACAGACAAACGTACAGATAGACAGACGAGTTCAGTGTTTAATTAATGTACGGATTTTGGGTTTCCTTTTGTGCAATCAGAGTGCAAATCAACTGTCAATAAGACACTGAACACTCAACAGACAGGATATACGATACACACACACTCACACACACTCACACACCCCCGGCGACAGTGTACAGCGTACATTTATCTATTTTTGGGCAACTTTTATTTGCACCATTTTCAATTTTTGCTGGTTCTCAATTTTCCGGTTTCAGCCTTTTTCTTTTCCTCTTTTTTGTGTGTTTGTTTGGTGACTGGCGGGGGTGGGGTGGAGTGGGTCTGCTGCCTGTAATTTTCAGCTCCTGCCAAATTTGTTTGGTAATTCGATCTACACAAGGCAATTACGATTGACAAAACGTGGCCAACTGCCAGCAGCCAGCCAGTTGCCAGAGAAAGAGCAGCGAGCAGCGAGCAGAGAGCAGAGCATATGCTGCTGCACAATTTGTTTGGCACGTCGACAGTGCGTATACGCAATATTCGACTGTGAAATGATCATTTGATTGGACGGCAAATGCAATTATTGAAAGAATTTTATTCACTTCATTTCGTGACATTTTGCCACTCTCTTTGCCATTCTCACACAAAAATTTAATTCAACAAATTCACAATACGCCGTGCGATACGTGCCAACAGTTCGAGCAGAGTCCTGAGTCCTGTCAGCCAGCCTGCTCTCTCACACGATAACACACGATTAGTTGTGGAAATATTCATGGGTCTAGTAGCACTTGCAGTCTATTTCCATTTCGTTTGTATTGTTTTTTAGTCCGACACATGAACAGATACGGAAATTGCTAGTAAATTTTAACACAAAAAATCTTTTGCACTTCTCTGAGCCGCACAAAATGTTGAAAGAAAAGGAAATCGTTGACTCCACAAACCTGTTCAAGTACTGGTTCATCTATCACATGGCCAAGACACGAGCATTGGCTGCTGCTGGGCAACAGAAGGTGCAGCTGCAGCAGCAGCAGCAGCAGCAGACAAAACAGGAGGACCAGCAACAGCAGCAGTTGGGGCAGCTGCCAACAGAGGAAGTTTCTCAGGAGGAGCCCCAGAAGAAGCCTCAGGAGGAGTCCCAGGCGCAGCCTCAGCAGAAAGACGAAGAGCAACGAGAGCAATTAAATAAACTATTTTCCATATTTCGCAATAATTTGGTTCCGGCCGCAATGGGACTCACTGCTGTCTGTGTTCTCAAGGCCACATTCAAGTGAGTTGTCGCTGCATATCCTTTGAGGCTTTCACTTTGTTACCGATACTCTTTCCATCGCAGCTAAAATGTTCAACAAATAAATCGTCAGTCAGCTTTGGTGCCCTTAGTTTTCCTTCTGCCAAATTGCTGCCACATTTGGAGCAGTCTTGTGGCAGGGCAAGCAGCAACCAAGACTTTAACGACAAATTAACTCTTTTGTGTGACTTTCCTTTGTGGGTGAAATCATACTCGTGGTACGCATTGCCATTGTCTTTGTTTCGGGCAGCTCAACTCAATATCTTTGTGCTGCGCTGTCTGCTGTCTGCTGTCCGTTGACTGTGTCCGAGGTGAAGCCTCAGAAGGGAGCTAAAAGTACATGAACAGGAGCATAGAGCCACCTAAAGAGAGATGAGGTGCGCCTTCAGCGGCTATGCAACTGGAAATCTGGGTATCTGGTTCTGGGGTCTGGGTGTCGAGTTTCGCTTTCGGTGCGGCGCGGCGCGGTGCCAGGATGCGAAACGGAATGAGCAACGGGAATGGAAATGGGGGTGTCATCATTTTAGGTTTCATTTTGTGCTCTTGTCTGTGACGGGAGGACATCGATAATTATCGCACAAAATGTGTCCTGGGCATCGAAAGGCAACGGCAACGGCTACGACAACGGCAACGGCAACGGCAGTGGGCCAATGGCCAATGTTCTTTTGATTTCTGTGTCTTGTCCTGCCGCCTCGCAGCGTTCTTTCTTTCTCTCTCTCCCTCTCTGTCTCTGGTGTGTGAAAAACAAGGAAATTTACAACACACACTTAGACGCACACCCACACACACACAGGTCGTGGGGGGTGTGCGGGTGTCTGCATACATGTGCATAAATTCATTGTCACGACGACAACGACGACGACAGCAGCATCAAATGAATGAATGAATGAATGAATGTGCCCCGTTCTGGTCTCTGCTGCTGCTGCTGGCTGTCTGCTGTGTCTGCTGTGTCTGCTGTGTCTCTGTGTCCTGTGCCATGGCCCGTTTTGTGAGGCAGGTCCTGTGTCCTGGCCTCTAACATGTGTAGCCTGCTTTTAGGCTAAAAGCACATCCTCCCATGCACTCTCACAAGGGGGGGGTGGGGGGCGGCTGTGTCTCCTTCTTCTGCTCTCTGGAGCTGGCATAAATCTTGGGGACTTTTGTTTGATCGAACGCAAAAATAATGGCGCTTTGTTGTCCTGCCCACGTCCTGAGTGCCTCTGCCTCTGCCTCTCCCTCTCCCTCTCATCCCTCTCCTCTGTTGTGTTCTCCCGCCCTGTCTGTGTCCGTGTCCTCTGTGTCTGTGTCTGTGCGCCTGCCTTCATAAATTTTTGCCAGACCAAAAGAAATCAGCAGGAAAATTGACCTTTTAGCTCGCACTTCGTGCTCGGTCTGTAGTCTGTAGTCTTACCCGGGAGGGAGGGTTGGCCTGCCTGCCTGCCCGCTGCTAGTCCTCGGATGCTGCTAATGATACAAAGCGACACTCTATCCCCTCCCCTCCCACCACTCTCTGGCTGTGTGTGCCATGTCCGCTTTCTTGTGCCAGCGAATAAGTGCATTGAGATGATTGAATGACTGACTGACTGAACCGTCTGCCCGTCACCACCTGAGCTGGGGGCGCACACTTCTGGCTGAGTCTAATAAATCGTCGTGTATTTAGCATAAGAGCGCAGGAAATCAGCTAATTCGACTACTAGTATTCCTCCCCGCATCTTTAATCGATTCCGGCATCAATCATTCCAATATTACAGCATTTTCTTGTGGCTCTTCAATAAATGTCCCTGTGGCAGGAAGGTTCTCCTTTCGAAGTATCTGCCTCTGCCACTTAATTGCCAAAAGTTTGCCACTACTCGAAACTCTTGCGAGTAAACTCGTTCGTATGTATGTCTCTTTCCCTGCTTCCACTGCTACCCCTGCACCCCTTCTGCCCCGTTTGCTGTCACTCTTTATGCCTGCTTCTATGCCCATATAAACCCCTTTGAAACGAGCGCTTTCTTGCACTTCCATTCTGAGTTTTGATGGGCCCTGCAGACGCGACACTTTTTATGGCACTCGCACATTAGGCATTCGTCATTAAAGTTTATATCTACCCCCCACAGGCTCCCCAGGCTAACCACTCTCTCACTCTTACTATCTATCCATCTGTCACACACACACACACACACACACTTATACAGAGACATATAGCAAATGAAAATGATGGCTGGAGCATAATGCAAACAATTAGGCTAAAAAATGTTTGCTCACTGGCACTGGCACTGGCACAGGCAAGAGAGAGCTACAGCCAGAGAGGAGAGTAAAGCTGTTGGAAAATTCTTAAAAAAAAAAACACAAAATACGAGTATGCGTATGCGTATGAGTGTGTCTCTTGTGTGTGTGTGTTTCTGTGTGTGTCTCTGTTGAAGCATGTCCAGCATGTTCCTTTTCTTGTTTATGGGTCTTATCGTGTGTGTGTGTGTTCTGTGTGTTTTTGTGTGTGTGTGTCTGCACTTTGAACAAATTAAAATTGGAAAAATCCTTTTGCTGCACTTATATGTACATATGTATGACAGACAGACAGAGACAGACAGAATCTGTGCCTTCCAGCAGCAGAATGCAGAATGCAAAGGCAGAAGGCCCCCACCCATATAACCCATAACCATATACAATCGACACAGACTGTGAAAGCGCCTTCAACCATCCTCCATCCTCCATCCTCCAGTTATGGTGTCTCACATCTTAATTGCTTCCACTCCAGCCTTACTGCCTTACTGCCTTCCTGCCCCAGTCTTGCCCCAATAAGAAGCAGCAGGCAGCAGGCAGCAGGCAGCTGGCAACAAGCAACAAGCAATATGAAATCTGAAAATACACATACATAAAATGCATTTTTTGGACATTTTTATTACCTGTTCTGCTGGCTGCTGGTGCCATAGCTTGAGGCACAAGGCACAACACCCAGTAAATGAAATCAATTGAAGCACGCCTGCCCAAAAGGATATGTTATCCTTGAAGCTGACTAACTAATTGATTGTCAATGCCAATGCCATCGATTACCGTTCAAGTTATTTGCAGCTTATCGAATAAACAAAACAAAATGTTTTCCATTTGCATTTCTTGGCTTTTATTTTATGCGCAGAATGAATGGCAGTTTGGTTTGGCTTCGATTATAATTATTCATGAATTACTAAACGAGTGTGGCCAAAAGCAGCAATCAGTCCCGGCAATCAGTAGTTTTTTTTCGGTAGTTTTTTCAGTGGATCTTAATAGTCAATGGATCTAACAAACAATTTATGTTTCATTTTGCATATTTTCCTCACTGGGAGAAACTATTTTTTTTTTTTTATTTGCATTTTGCTTGGCTTGCGTGTCTTCGGAGCTCATTTAGCAATAAAAGTTGAAAAGTTTTAAGCAGAAATGTTGCATCAGAGCGAACAGAATGTGGGGATGTAGGGGGCAGGGAACGGAGATGAGTGAGTGACTGAATGGCAAATAGCTTTTGGCTCCATCATCATTGGCCGAGGCGAAGGCAGTCATAACTTTGAGTGTAGTTATGGGGAGGGTCTGGAATGAAGTGCAAATTAATCAACTATGAAATTAATTATCCCTTTGATGCGAAATGCCATCATGCCAGTTGCCGTCTCTCTCCTTGGCTTAAATCAGCAATTGTTGATTGAACCAAAGGGGGGGTCTCGACTAAAGGGTGAGTTTCGGTTTTGATTTTGGTTTTGGCAGTGCCCGGCATTGCCTTTGTTTCAGCCAAATGACAAATTCTAATGTCCAACCCATTGGCGGGGTCCTGTCCCGTGTCCCCCTGTCCATCGGCTGTCACTCCAGTCCAGCCAGGGCTGCTCCTCTCCTCTGCCATTTATTTCGCATTCGTTATATTTTATATCCCTCTCTCCTCTCTCTCTGCCTCGCTCATTTCATTGTTTCTGTTTTGTTATTTTTGCGGCTTGCTTAACACAATTAATTAGTTAATGTCCAATGCTGTGGTGCTAAATTTATTGCTATTTGCGCTCTTCTATTTGATGAGCATTGGCCGCAGCCTCCAACCGAATTACAGGGAATTTTCCCGTGACAGCGGCATTTGTGCGCACTGAATGTCACACCAGGCAGAGCAGAGAAGAGAGAAGAGACAGAGACACGAGACCGAGACAGAGCTAAATAATATTAATATAACAGCAAAGAGTCAAACAAAGTTTCATGGGGAAAACTTTTGATCTCTTTTTGCCTTCACATAAAACCCTTCTTTTCGTCATCTATTATATTTTTCTTTGAGCATGTATATCCCTATTACAGTTCATAGTTAGCAGATAATTGTTAATCAATTGCAATAAATAATTAAATAAATATTTTCCACCACAATCCCTCGAATAAACTCTCACTCCCTCAAGGGGTATCAACTGGTTGGTAGCCGCATCTAACCCATGCCCGCCAGTTGTTGTAATTGCTACTAATTACTGCCACAACGATTGCCGATGGATGCCCATACCCACCACCCCCCTTACCTATCTGCTGCCTTGCTCACTCTGCCATCAGCATTGTGCTCGACTTATGCAAATTTGTCTGCTCCTCTCAGTCTCTCTCTGTCTCTGGTACTTCCTTTCACCCCGCACTTCCTGTGCCACTCTGTGGCTGCTCTTGTATATAATTTACATAAACATCTAATTGCTGGTTGGCATTGCTGCTGCTGCTGCTGCTGCTGCCATCGATGTTGCTGTCGCTGTTGCTGTTGCTGTAATCATGCTTAATTGTTTTCGCTGGGGCATTTCATGTTCGATGCTCATGATTGAAAGTTTGTGCTGTGGCGGTTTTCGTTTGGCAGTAGACCGCCAACCGCTAAGCCCACACTTCCCGCAATCGTACTGCTCCACCCGCCCGCCAACCCGCCAACCCGCCAACCCGACAGGCCTCTGCCTCTCAAGGCTCCTGCCACTTGAAGGAAGTGCCTTTAAGTGTTTAACGACACGTTTGAATTACTCAATTTGAGTGCGTCTTTGAGGCGATGCGCAAAGTATTTCACGAATTCAATTAAGCCCACTGTCTCGAGTTAGGGCTCAGAGCAGGGCTTTGCATGTGCGTATCTCTCTCTCTCTCTCTCTCTCTCTGTACTGCCGATAAGAGCTAATTATACGCCATGTACTCCCACTCCCTACTCGCAGCACTTGGCCCACAAAGGTGCATATCCCTACTCAGTTACAATGCCTGACAATTACATTGGCATACAGACTCGAAGGCTCCGCAAATCAGTTAATTGAAATCAGGCTCAGGGCCTTCCCTGTGCAATGCTCACATATTTAATATTTAATTCAAGCGCGCCGCACAGCAGGCCAAACCAAACCTTTCATGGGTTCATTTCATTTGTTCAGAAACAGTTCGCCCGAATTCACATTCACATTCACATTTAAATTCAAATTCAAATTTCACTTCCAAATTTTAGCACAATAATTTAATTTTTTCGTTCGCTTTTTTGAACGCCAAAAGATGTTGGAAGATAAGCTCGTCGTCTGCTCCACCGCCTTGTTCACGTACTTGCACATCTATCACATCGTAAAGTCAAGATCAGGCACTGAAGCGGCGCCAGAGATGCAACAGAAGGTGCAGCAGCAGCAGACAAAACAGGAGGAACAGCAACAGCAGCAGGAAGTTCGTCAGGATGAGCCTCAGGAGAATGACAAAGAGCAGCCGCAGGAGAGAGACGAAGAGCAGCCTCAGGAGAGAGACGAAGAGCAGCCACAAGATCAGCTGCAAGAGGAGCAAGTTACTCAACTATTTTCGACTCTTCGCAACAATTTGGTTCCAGCCGCAATGGGACTCACCGCTGTCTGTGTGCTCAAGGCAATCATCAAGTGAGTTGTCTCCGAATACATATACCCCTGATATTGATTCCTCCTTTCGCAGCTAAAAATGCTCAATAAATAAATCGCCAGTCCAGCCCTGGTCTAATTATTTCTCCATCTGCAAAATTGCTTTGAATGGGAAACAACATTTTCCAAATTTGGAGTAGTCTTGTGGAAGGAGAGTAAGGAGCCAAGGCCTAAGCGAAAAGGAACTCCATATTGCTTTTCTCGTGAAGAAAGAGGCAAGAGGTTTGCCATCCAAAAGTCATGTGCCACTGAAGGGGGAGGAGCAGCAGCAGCAGCAGCAGCCCGTGATGCCAACTGAGCTGGCGAATTGTTCAACTTTGATTATTTGCATTTGGAACAAATTAAACAGCGTCACAACTGCCAACAACGGGGCAAGCCTCGATAAAATGTAAATTTAATATGTGACTGACTGACTGACTGACTATCCACTGAAAACCCAAGCCCCCCGCTTGGCAGCTGGGGTTATTACCTTCCGCGAAGCAGCACAGTGGGAGGGGGGGAGTATTTGCATATCTGACTTTTTGCCAGCCTTTGACATGGTGGAAAAGCGGTGGGGGCGTTGTGGAGTGGCCATAGATCAGTGCCAGATGCAGTCGCAGTCGCAGTCGCATTTGATATTTACCTTTTAATATTATTAATTTTATGATTAAAGCCAGAGCATCTGCGGAGAGCATTTCTCGTATGCCATCCTTTGGCAAAACGAGCTGTCAGCCCATCTAGATATATATATATATATATATATATAAATATACATATGACTGTGTGTGTGTGTGCGCGCGCTCTTCTCTGACATTAATGCACTGAAGCTGATGCCTGGCACTCGCAAATGAAGTTCTTGTGGATTGTGCAAAATGAAGTCCAAACTTGTGCGCTATTTTTGCCTTTGACAGCAGCTGCAGCAGTGCCTGGCAGAGGCAGAGGCGGCTGCCTGCTGCTGCTGGTTGGCTCGTTGGCTGAAATCCAATGAGGCATGATCTGGCCTCCTCCTCCTCCCCCCCTCTGCTGTCATGCAAAATACCTCTGCTTACACAAATAAAATCAAGAAATATGAGCAAGCAAATGAAGCGAGCTGAATGAACAGGCCACCCCACACAACAGCAGCACATAATGGAAAGGAGTGAATGAAAATGAAATCGACTGCCATTCAATGGGAGGGAGCCACAGCCACGTAATCAATGCACCCTTTGTCGACGGGGAAACTAATGCAACAATATTAGGTACAAACTCAGGGGCTGGCTGGCTGGGACTGGAACTGTGCATACGTATACAATGCACATATATTATTGCATATTCGACATGCAGAGATCAATAGCTCAAACACACAGCTCGTACTTGGCTTTAAAGTTTTGCAATTCGGTGCTGTACATCTCCATGATGATGGGACTCACGCGCTGGGCTATCTAGGCCAGTCTTAGGCCCTTGCTGCTGGTGTTTTTTGGGTTTGCTGTTGCTGTGGACATTCCTCACATTTCATGAACATTCAATTCAGTTCCTGCAGAGCAAACAAACCAGGGATTTATGCCGTGAAATACTTGAAATGAACTTTTTTATTGGCTTTAATTGTGTTTTTAAATCGTTTTTCAATGTTTTGTGCAGGCCTAGGACTCGAATACAAGTTTATTTGTCACCTTGGAGCGGCGTGAGAGCAGTGCCGTTAGATCAGCTGTGATCTCGCTCAAGCTGTTGAACTGCATCAAACCATAGGCCTTGGCGTCTTCGTCCTCGATGGGCACTGCGGGATCGAACACCTGCAGCAAGTCCTCGTAAATGGGCAGCGGCTCATCGTAAAAGTCGTTCTTCAGTCGGCGTTCCAGTATGTTTAAATCGACGATGGCAAGGGGACGTTGCATTGGCTTCGGGGCCTCTAGGTTGCTGAAGAGCTGATACTTCTTGTATTTCTTCATTTCGCGCACCATGGTCCTGGCTCCCTGCAGCAGTTTGCCATTGAAAACAATCTTTCTGATTGAAGGCATCATGTCAGCGTCGAATGGGATCTCCGGCCAATCCTCCACGCTCGTCTCCTGGGCCTCAGCGGAGCCAGACGACTGGGCCTGGGCGACGGAAGAAGCGTGCCGGCTCGTGGATGGCATCTCTTCCATGACCACATGGGGCTCCATGGCCAAGCTCACGGACGGCTCCTCTACCATGATCACGTCGAGGTCCTGGGCTTGAGCCACGTTAGGCCGCTTGGCCAAGACCACAGCAGGCTCCTCTGCCATGACCACGTCGGGCTCCTGGGCCTGTGCCATGATCTGAGCCACGACACGTACCTTGCCCTGCCCCACTGCAGGTGCTTTGACCTTACGCTGCGTCATGCTTCGCGTCTTCATTTTCGCTAAAATATGGGGAAAATATAAAACTAATTAAAGCAGGCCACACGTAAAATATATACATATACTCGTAGCCTAGGGAATTCCAATTGCGCATCAATGCATAAGTCACATGTTCAGGCAGCAAATGCAACCCTGTGCACGCGACAGTTCAGTCTCGGATCGCTGTCACTGGGCGGAAGTTTGCTGTTCGCCTGCTGTTTGCGCTAGTAGCATTTTAATCCCTAGAACTATATTCAATCCGTTTAGCTTAAAGTCTAATTCCCACATAGAAACATTTGGAAACCCATTGGCGACTTTCCATCTGCAGTATTTTGGATCGCCCATTAAGGGAATATTCAATTGTGTTTATTTATTATGTGCCTGAATATGAAACTCCTTTTGTGTTCGAACGATACTATCATGGAAATATTTAATGGTGGAAACCCATGACAAAGGAAATAAAACGGGCACAGGCAGCAGGCAGCATACTTACAATTAGCTATACGCTTTGCAAAAACACTTCCAACATGCACCTAGGCTCCGAAAGAAAAGGAAGAACAAGAGCTGCAATATCGATGTCAACGATGTTCGGATGGCTGCAGTCATCGATGTTTTTTTTTCTCAGGCATCGATGTTTTTGCCACCAAAGCTCGCAAGTGCTGATCAGAGAGCAGATCAGTAAATATCTGAAATCTATTCATCAATGGCAGGTATATTTTATGGGCTTTATGGTCTTTATAGTCTTTTCGTCCCTAATTATATGGCTAGGCATAGTGGTGGTAAAAAGTTGCCTCCTTTTCCATCAGTGTAAAAAGGCTTTTAGAGTGTTTTTTGTTTGTATTACCTGGCTAACACTTTATGCCAACTTCGTGCTTCAATTCAACGTGCTTCAATTTGGAGTGTGCCAAATTCGAAAATATTTAGCTGAGAGTATCAAATAGCAAGCGGAAATATCGCTAGTAAATATCTCATTAACGATATTTCCAAAAATATTATCGATATATCTTATTCAATAAACAAAATTGTGCATTCAATTGTTAATTGTAAATTATATGAAATTACAGAGCTCTGAACGGATTCGCACCTGCCTCGAAATCTGGCAAATGAGAAGTTCCCATTAATGATTAGGAGTAAGCTCAGAGCTCGGAGTGGGTTGCCGCCACTCAAGTTAAGCAACTTGTCCAAAATAATGCAGCCAAAAAAAAGCTTGCAGGAAAAAGTTAGCTGCGCCCCCACGCTGTCTGTCGCTGTCTGTCTTTTACTTGCAAAATTTGATTTGCAATTAGGTCTGTAATTTAGCTTTAACCGATATTAAGTGTTGGCCTTCCACTTAAACTGTCTGCCAACTTTGCTGTGCCAACTTTGGAGCGGATGCAGGGCTGGGCCTTCATTAAAACAGATTCGCGTTGCAGTTGTTGCTGTGGGAACAGCTGCTCCTGGTGCCTGATGGCTGATGCCTGCTGCCTGGTGCCTGATGCTGGTACTGCGCTGCTGCTGCTGAAGCGGATGGTGGCAGCGACTGAGTACTCTTGCAACTGGCAAATGGCATTATTTTTGTTTGACAAGTCAAAGCGACGCGACATCGCGACATCGCGACATCGCGACTACTGCGACGGCCGCAAGAGCACTTCAAAGTTGTCAGAGCATACTTGGAGTCGCGCCCAAGTGCGTGTGTTGGCCTCCATGTTCAGCCCCAGCCTCAGCCCCCATTGCCACCTTTCCACTCTTCTTGTGTGTGTGTCTGTGTGCCAGTCAGTCAGTCAGGCAGTCAGTCAGTCGCTGGACTGGCTAACGAGTCGGGGCCAACAGCAGCAGCAGCAGCAGCAAAAAACACAACAGGAAGGAAAAGGAAGGCTAGCCTCGGGGCCGCAGCTTTTGATACACTTGCCGAAGGATCGTACCAGAGCAGATCCTTCTCAACTGTGCATAAGACCCGCTGCCAGGGTATATGGGAAGCGGATGCAGTAAATGCCGTTCAGCGCGGCAGCAGGCAGGCGTCGACTCTTATGGCTGAGGCGCTCTCTTAAGGGGATTTCGCCTGCCAGTATTCACCACACTAAGAGAGCCGGCAGGACGCAAACTCACCTCAGCTGCTGACCGGTAAGCGCACGAAGCCAACGAGGCGGCAGCCACGACGAGACGCGTAGGTGTAGGATGCCTCGGACGAATAACGATGAGGATGAGCATGAGGATGACGACAATGCCAACCCATTGACATTTTTCACCTACTTTCGACCTGTCGCACACACACACATGAACCTACCCGTCCCCCTCCTCGCTCTTCCCTCCCTCTGTGGGGAAGTTGCTCCAGCAACTGGCAACTGGCGGCGGGAATGCATTTTGGCAGCTCGAACACAAGTCCCAGTTGCCTCGTTTACCCATTTCCCTCAATTTCCTCCATGAATTTTCCAAATGAGTTGAACAAGCTGTGCGCCACTGGACACTGGGCCACTGGGCCACTGACCAAGACGACGAGGACGAGGTCCCGGACCCGACCCGTACGAGAACGAGCAACAATTGCCCCGAACAGCGAGACAATTTCATCCATATTTATACTCGTGCGAGTGCGAGTACTGTGGCATGATTTAATCTGGTTGCTTTCAATTTAGTGGCGGCTTCACTTCGGTTTCGGTGCTTCGGCTCCTGATCGAGTCCTTAGTCAAATCAGTTACAGCTTTTTTCTCCCTACTACCCCGTTCCACATTGCCCCATTGTTCCCATTCCCCCATTCACCATTTGAGTGCCTTTTCATTTGGCCTGGCAAGAAATTTAATTACGGCCTGGCCAAAAGGTCCTAAATTGCTTAAGCGTGGGCTGGGGTGTGGCCAGTGGCCAGTGCCCAGTGTGGGTGGGGGGCAGCCACACTGGACACACATTGAAATTAACGAGCAGCAGTTA